AAGAGACCTGACTGTACTTCTAACCGACTTTCAGTAGTAGCTGAGGTATCGTACTGCCGAGCAATTTCTCAAGTGACTTACTGACACTCAAAAAAGGCTGCGTAGCATAGCTACAGGAGGGAGGCTACAATTTAGCACCAAGAAGAAGAAGATTATGAGGACTCCCCCTGCGACCGTCAGACCGATGATATTGTCGAACGATATTCAAATGGAACAGATTTAAAGTACTTCTGAACTGTCTTAACTATTGCGATGATTCTCAAGTAACAAAGCAAATAGGATTGGAATCAAAAATTGTGGCAAACTGTATGATTTATTGAATGATTGGATTTTAAGAACTGATAAAAAGACTACTGCCCTAAAAGCAGCGATATCTGCAGTGAAATATGTTGTTCTGTAAGGTCATGAAGCTCATATCGAAAACGCGCAAAAGCTCTATTCATGGAGTATCTTTAAGTAGAATGATACAACCGGATAACAGACAGACGGTGATGACTACCGGTCTCAGAAAACTCTCAAATGAACTCAGAACCGTTGTTGAGTGAAAATCGCCAACCGGTCGTAGACGTGTTAAATGGCCACACATCGTTAAGGCAGATCTGCATCTGACGAAGAGTATGACCTTGCCAATAGCAGTAGCCTTTGCTTAATATCAATGCAAAAGAAAAATTACAGCTGTCTTAAACCTGGGTTACTCCGCTGTAAAAGTCTGTTATCGTCAGATGGTGACTAGAACAACGCGAAAGAATTCCATATGTTGGACGGTTTGTGAAAATGGCTTTGTTTTCCCTAATACCTCATTTTAGTTTGAAGACCTCATAAGTTCCCAGATGAGTGTCATGATTAAACCTTAATTGAGCGCAATGCGAAGGAATGATTCATTCGTATGTTGCGCGCAACGTACATTAGCAATCAGTCACCTAGAAGGCCCAAGATGACAGCTTCGTGATAGAAACGAATTCCTCTCTTGAGCGTGTACGTTACTATCGTATACAGGCGTGTACTTTACAAACTCTACCTCGACTTTAGTTTCTTAAAAAGAGCAATGATTATTTTGAGAAAATGAAAAGTCAGCGCTAAGCTTAACAATAGATGTTATTGTCCGAATGTTTTAATGGCAGGAATTATAAAATAAATCACAGACCCGAAATGCTGAAATATTCCTCAATCTGAGCTTTCAGTTTCCCGATTCGTGGTCTTCGGCTTACACACGAAAAACACTTGCGGAAAGAAAGTATTTTGGAATTGGACTCAAACATAAATTAAGAAACTCAATACTCATTTCCTTCTGGACCCAAAATGAACATCTAAAGTGATTATTCCCAGTTGTTATGAACTATTTACCATGATTATAAATTTTGTTTCGACTTTAATACATTAACGTCCTATAGCCAAACTCCAAACGAAGGCGATGACGTAACATACCGATTCCAGCTGGGTTAAGAGTTTCGCAATACCCAGCTTAACTTTTCCTCTTGGCGCCATCTTCAAAGCTTCCGACGCAGTTTCAAGCGAGGCATTGCGCAAGTCCACGTCGTTGACCGAAACCAGGCGATATCCGGGCAATATTCTACCGTCCAAGTCAGCAGCGCCTCTTGGAACGAGTGACCGGATAACAACTGCCCTTGCAGTTGGATTGTTGACACTCTGAAAACGGCACTATGAATTTTGAAAAAAACGCACAAGGAGTCACCTGATATTCCAGGAGAGAAAATCCAAGTCCTCGGTCGCCTTTTTCAAGTTCGATTACGTCCGGAACGTTCGACCAGATGGCCAAGTTCTCGAGCGTATCCAACGAACGTGAACGCCAAAATAAAATTTTCTCCTCCAAGTCGAAGCTTTTTCGGCAGGATTCGAGTAGCTGAACTTCAGATTTTGCCTCAAGATTTCGAAATTATTTACAGCTGTTTTTTAGGCTCCAGTTTTACAAATGTGTAGGTAGTACGTGCAAATTATTAGAAATTAAACAAATGAATAACTAATTAATGAACAGATTTCAAACAGCCATTCAGCATTGCAAAACGCTTACGCGATGCAACGATATAACGCAAAGTCAGAAATCGCAGTTATACCTTGTACTGATTATCGCGTTATAGTTTGTCAGTCATTAACCGGTCATCCTCGAAAATCCGCTACGAGGAAGGTCCATCATCGTAAAATCAAGCTGTGAAGAAAATCAGAGGTGCCCCAATTAATTCGTACCCTAATGAATCCTTTCATGTGTCATCTCTTACTGTCATGTAAGACAGAGAGAGAGTGACTGTTTGGCTGTTTTACACTATGCAAATAGGGTTTTTGAAAATAGCGTGAATTACTGAATACTGAAGATGTACTGGACGAAATTAAATCAGAAATCGTCTCTAAAGTACGGTAACTACTTTAAAAAAATACTTCAAATGCATCCACAGTATACTGGTATTACAGTCTGAAGCTATGCAGGAGAAACCCAGTTTCGTGCCTAGTTTGGTAATTTGACATGGATGCCACCAAGTCTAGAAACCTTCAGCCAATGACGCGCCTTCCGAAACGTCGAGCAACTGAGGTCAATTACTGCCGATTGAGGTCAGATCGTATGTTCTTGCTTAGAACAACTTTAGAACAGAACAAAATGGATGCAAGCATGGAAGCCAAGGTGGCCATGAGCCACTTCTAAATGATTTGGTCTATTTAAACTAGGTGCTGCACATGAAACTCACCTCCTCACCTTGGTGCATAACTTATAAGAAGACACTTGACTCGGTGTTGCTAGAAGCATTGCAACTGTACGAGGTAAATTACCTTGTCACTGCTCTGATAATTCACCCATTGAAATGTGAAAAACTTGATTAGTATTGGCAGCAGTTGCTGCACTGACAAAATCTAGACCAGAAGAAACATTTTAGAGGAATAGCTTCTTTGACTCCGTTTACGCATTAACCCTCATTGTAATCTGTTATATAATTCAGAATGTGATCATGTTAACCAGAAAATGAAGAATGCGAAGCTCTCCTCATAAATCTTTCACACAGACGACCTAATGGTCTTCGCTAGAGAAAGAAAACCTTCCAAATGCATGTTCGAGCTGATGCCTGCGTGCAGATGTCACTCAACTGGAATGTAATTCGGTCTATTTTAATGGGTAGTTCCATATATTAGGCAGAAGAAGCCTATATCTCGAGTGAATTCAGTAAGCAAGCCCGGACACAAGTTACAAATCTCTTAAGTACCGGGTACTCCTCAGTGTCTACTCTAAGCAAGTGAAAGAATAAGGTACAAGAAGTTCGAGAGGAGCCTCACGTTTAGAATGAAAACAGCTGCTTTCTTCCATACAAAATTTCAAAGCTTTCAATCCCATGCCATACTAGCGAAACCGCATAGGTTCAGTATTGTGAAATGGTCCTCGATTTCTATCCAAGATAGCGTTCGAAAAGGTCAGACAGCATTTGATGATGCATCAAATGACATAACAAGTTTCCCGGTTATATCCGCCAAGGAGGAGCATCGATCCACTCGGCTGAACATTGCTAACCTCTGATGAGGGAGGCGAGCATACCAAATGACGAAGGAATAAAATTTTTATAGATGGACAACAGAAGCAGACATGGGATATACGCCGTTGAATCTCTGCAATGGCAAATACGTGATCTGTATTCGGACAAAAAAAGCATGTCATGGGCCTTTCTACGATGCCGAAGCGTCTGATGGAATCGACCTGAAAAAATTGTACTTTGCTTGTAGATCGAGAACTGGCTTTGGAAGAATAAGTCTTTACTTTAGCAATACAATTTGAATAAGAATACCCTTGGTAAATACAGCATGTGCGACAGTCCAACGTTATCGATCCATCATGTTTGTGCGGATTGCGCTGTTTTGGCATAATCGAATACCTCAAAAAATTCAGTAACGTTGCTGAGGTCGTACACTTACAGTTGGCAATTGACTGAGCATAACAAGAGAAACAGCCTCATATCATCATACCATCCAAATGTCTCAAAGATGGCCAAGGCACTACCTGATTCAACATGCTATTTTCATACATCTTATGGCTGGTCGCAATCATAACATAATAGGCACAAAAGTCTGTTAGAAAATTCTAGACAGCTCCTGTTTCACATGCAGCCAAAATGGTGTAAAAATATTGAACATAAACAACTGGTAGTGGGCCGCACCTAGCTGGCTATGCTATTCCTCAGTTGCAAGCAACATGTCATCAGTATGAAGTGATATTTACAATTAAATACAAAATACGCTGAAAGGTTCCATTCCAATGGATCGTTACTAATGCAGAATATAATTATTAGTTAATCACCGTTTGGTTTAAAATTCTTTACGTGTATTTCGAAAAGACATACACTTATTATATACTCCGTTTATAATAAATTCATAAAATAACCTTAGAAGCCTGGAAATATTTATTTTAACCAACTGTATTAGAGCACTTTTTAATTCAAATGAACTGCATCCCTTCTTTTCTAATATGCACTGAACGCGCAAAAATAATTTCTTTGCATTAATTATGAATCGCTAGTTCAAGAAAATAAACCATCGCAAATGTTTCAGTCTCGTCATCATGCGCCTACTTCATGGAAAAAGTGCCATAAAGATTTCCCGTTTGAATAACGTCATCAGCCGAGGTCAGAGGCTCCACCCTCAGCGAATCTTAATCATATATTGAGGATACTCTGTGAGATACGTTGGCGGATTCGTTGCGGTGCTAAGCTGCCACAACGCATTTCTATACAGCGATGCATACTAACATATTTTTGACCATACCATAATTCGAAGATTCTTGTAATTCCTCTATAGAGTATGAAGTTCCAATGTTACTAACTTCATCGATGAGAGGTGATGCAATCAGATGATGCGACATACCATAAATCCTGTCCAAGTCACTTTAATGGGGCTTACCAAAATTTGGTAGTTATCCATGGTAGGCTTTATATGTGATTATCTCTTCGTATTTTTATCGAAACCTCCTACTCATAAAGGCTGACAAAAGATGTGTGAGCCACCCTGCCAAACGTTTCGAAATATCGTAGGCATCTCTGAAACGTTTTTCCTCGTCATCGTATTTCGTGCATTTCTCGAATTTGCTCCTATGTTTTGTGCAGATTATCTGTGAAACGTTGGTAACCAGGGTCATTAGCAACAAAATTAATAAACTTTCAGTCATCACCTAATTAAAAAATCAATTTATCTAATTAACTAGTATTAAAAATTTTCGACAAAAACTGTACGGTTAATTGGTACAAGCGGCTGAATTGGATTTTCTGAGACGAGTTGCTGGCCTTACGCATCTCGACATG